CACATCATGCTGTAGTCCAGATGTGCTCATGTGTACTGTGTGTGTCTGCAGGGTCTGGTGTCCAGCAGACATCGGCTCACCATGTGTCAACTCGCTGTCCAGTCCTCCGACTGGATCAGGTGAGACAGATCTGGTCTGAGGTCTAGACCTTACTTTGTAAAGTGTCCATATATGACGTCTGTCAATATGCAATACAAATTGAATTGAACTGAATTGATGGGATGTTTACACTGAAAGTGCTCAGATTTTATTTAGCTCACCTTTACCTGTGAATGGTTTGCATTGGAGACAAAGCACTGTCTCTCCTGCACAGATGTTTCACACCTGTATCTTTAAGGCCCTTCTTGCTAAATTAGCTTCTTATGATGAGCGATGGGCTCAGTTATTTAACCTCGCACATCTTGTACTGTTTCTTATTTCTCTCTTTTTACTGGCTTGGGTGAAGGTAGATAAAGGTTTTCAGCTATGTTTGAATCAGAATGTGTTGGTAGTTTTTGGGTTCCTGTCCATCAAATCCACACAGTCCTGATGAAGCTGGTTAACTGAATCGTAAATATATGAACTAAAATACTTATTTTACACATTTTATTCATTGATTTTTGCTTATTTTGTAATGAATGTCCAAGAAGAATTCAAGATTTAAAAACACATTTTCAGGGCCCCTTTTCTGACAGAGCTTTAATGTGAAATGTTTGCAGGAAATGCAAGTTTTATTGAGTTTGTTTTCACACTTTATTTACATGTTTTGTGGGGGTGGTGCAGGGTGGACCCCTGGGAGTGTTACCAGGACACCTGGCAGACAACCTGCAGCGTGCTGGAGCATCACCGTGACCTGATGAAGGTGAGCCTGAAAACACCTGAAGGACTCAGACTTGTCAGGGGTTTTAATTAGTTTGTTTGCTTTGAGCTAATGCTAATAGGAGCTGTTAACTTCCTCTGTCACTGTTTTCATCCACCTGCTGAAGAAACACAATGAAAGCACCTGCATGATGTTCCCATGGTAGCGTTGCCATTTTGCCCCTCACCTGTGTGGGACTGTTTACTTTGCATGTGCCCCCCACATGTGATTGCTGTTTCAGAACAAGCACAAACCCCCTTTTTTTCCCCTCAGAGAGTTACCGGCTGCATCCTGTCCAACGTCAGTACGCCATCAACGACTCCTGTGATCGGTCAGCCACAGAATCAGACTCCACCCATCTACCAGAACCACAACAACATGAATCACAAGCCCAACGCCAGTGAGTCACATTGCATATTCATCCGCAATGATTCTAATTCACCAAATTTACAATAGGGCACATTATTACACCCAGAGACGTGGGAAATGTATTATGTGTCTGCAGCAAATACAACACAGTGGAGAGTAATCCTAACCATTTTTATTACAAGCAAAACATTGTTTTGAGATCACACCCCAATCAATACAGATCAAAACTGATAATTAACAGAAAGTGAAACTATTTATTTGGCAATGCTATATTTGGTTTGGAACAGCTCTGGACTAAATCGGTTTCTATTTGACCTCCAGAACTTCTGATTCAAATGTTTTACTTTGTCTTGAGTCTCGATTTTAACCTCTATTGATTAGTGTTTGATCTCAAAACAGTTTTTTTTTTGTGGTACCAAAGGTTTGCTCTCAAATATGTTACATTTGCTGCAGATTCCAGAGACAAAAACAGGATGAAGATGCTGCTCCGGGGAGAACTACAGTAAAAAGTGTGTTGTCAGTGGATGTGATCTGTGTAGAAAAGCGTCTAAATGCTCCCACTTCTCTCTTTCTGCTCAGTCAAACTGTGGGGGAAGCTCAGTGAGAGTTTGGGGAAAATCTGCTGTGTCCGTCCGCACATTGAGCGCTTCACCTTTGTAGGTATGTACACACGATGTTAACGCCACCAGGCTTACAGTCAGTGCTCTCTGCTGGACAGTGGAGATACTGCTTGTACATGAGCCCAAACATGTCTCTGACATCTCTCTAATGATGTTTCCTGGCACTGATCAACTTCACAGACACAGATACACACCAAGAACCAGCTTTGTGAGCCATTCACAAGTCCTGCTCCTATCTGAGGACTCAGTCACACCGACAGTTCTGACTGCGTTAGAGCTGTTACTTTGTACCATCGCTGGTGACTTCAATCATGCAAATTTAAAACCTGTTTCCCACCAACATGTCAAGCCTGCTGCATGAGGAGAAATTCCACTGGAGCTTGTTGAGATCTGAGCTGTTTCTGCCGATGTCAGAGTGCTCACTCTGACTCTGAACACTGCACTGCTTGTGCTGTTTCTTAGTTTTAGGTGAAACTAAGTCTCCTACAGTGACATCTGAAAAACTCCAGCAAACATTCCACCTCATCCAAACTCTAAATGAGTGAAACCAGCCTTATAGCAATGAATCGGTGACAGTGATGCTGTTGAACCTGTTCTAAAGGTTCTGATGTAGTAGAGATGAAGTACAGCAGTGCAGTGACATCCATTTTGTGCTACACTCAGTGACTTTCTCAAAATGGCAGGGACAGATCATATTTTGATACCAGATCCAATCTGATCCATAGACTGTATAATGATGGACGATGTGACAGCTCTCAAAAGTGATCGCCCTCTGCAGGCTGGTTGCAGTATAGATCATAAATCCCGCCTCTCTATGTTAGTGGATGGGACATGAGCCGAAATAAAAGCTCATAACTTTTTTCTAGAGATCACTTCCGTGGTTTTTGGTAGATAATATCACACTGGTGTGTGTACATGTGGTTATTTGTCTGGTGAGTTTGCTTTAATGAGTTATTTGATGATATACAAAGGGGTCTATTTCAGATGACTGACAGCTTTGACTGGTGGTCTGATGCTGTCACTCCACTTCTGGCCTCTACTGCACAGAATCTGGTTGCAAAATACCAAGATGGCAGCTCTGTAGTCACAATGTTTTGGCTTCATTTTTGCATAGTGGAGGGAAGTGGTGACCTGTCCTCCATCTTTATATGCAATCTATTGTCTGGTCCCAGAACCAGGACCACCGGGGTGCAAGGGGTTAATACATTAGGACAGATGCATTTGTCAGTTATTAATTCTACCCTTGTTCTGCCTTTAATGTGGTGCCCTGAATTTTAAAAGGCTTTTCAAATTATATTCCCTCCTCAATTTAGTTGTTTCCTGTTTTAATATTTGCCGTTTTTGTTTCCTGAGTGCTTCATTTGAAAGATGTGATGAAACCTGTCCAGAGCACAGAACAGCAGCAGGAGCTCTGATTGGATGACCAATTTAGCTATGTATAATTTACATGTAAATCTGACTAAATAATTGATGGTTGATGTATTTTTAAATTCATTCAGTTGAGCAGAATGTAATGCAGTGTAAAGTATACAGTCATTCCAGTGGCACACTGCTGACTCTCAATTAGTTCTCACACTAAACTTGTCTCTTGCCTCCTTCTGTCAGATGAAAACGCTAACCTGGGCACTGCAGTGAGATACGAGGAGATCGGTGAGTCGTGACTACAGCGTCTGGTCCTGACCAGGCTTGGTGTTGTGTCCTCTGGTTTCCTTCCTGCTGTGTCTGAACTCCTCTGGTTTGTTTCTGTCCAGTAAACTTGTAGTTTACTGAGGGCGTGTCTCTTTCCTCCTGCCTGTTTGTCGCCTGTAGAGTTACGCATCTTGCTCCTGTGTGGCAGTGACCTCCTGGAGTCCTTCTGCATCCCTGGCCTGTGGAAGGACAGTGATGTAAGCACACAGTAGCCCCGCCCTCTATCCATGTAACCCCACTCCCCAGTCCCTCCCTCACATTAATGATTGACAGATCATTTTGATGTTGTTGACAAAGGAAAATTATGTACAAGAAAAAAATCACTTTAACATGTAACATGCAGGGTTATTCTTCTGCCACACTGGTGTCCAGCTAGCAGTGGTGGAAGAAGTGCTCAGATGTAAAAGTAGCAGACGTAGCTAAGTAAAGTTTTTACAAGATGTTAGCATCAGGCCTCATGCAGAATCAACTGCTTGGAATGTTATCACACCATTCAGTGGCCTGTTCTCACTAGTTATCAGACAATATTTAAGAGATCCCTTCTAAGAGGTTCACTAAGTTGGTATCATGATTACAGTATTATTATCATCGTGATTACAGTAATTAACTTAGAGAGTGTTCCTACTTTATATCTGTGATTCAGGCACTAAACCTTCTGGACATCGCCTGTCGTCTCTGATTGACTTTTGATTGATGTTCCTGAAAAGTTGCAGCAAGTGTTCCTCTGTTAACAGTGGAGGTGCCGTGGTGAACACAGAAATCTCCACCAGTTCACTGTTCCTCTAAGGTTCCTGTGATTACAGAAACTGTGTCACTAAATTAGGTTTTCCTGACTTGATGTGTGTGTGCACTTTCTGATAAGGCGCCATTTATAAAGTGTTTATAAGCTGTAACAAATGGATTTGTTAATGGTTCATAAATACTAATGCTTTATACATCAGCTCTAAGCCATGAATAAGGGTTGCCAGGTTGTGGAAAATCCTCCTTCAGCACAGCACTTTGTCTTTTTAAATCATTAGCAGGACCTGTCTGCAATTATTAATGTTAGCATATCATTGATGGAGATTCTCCTTCTCTGACGAGCTATCAGCAGAGGTTTGTCACTTCAGTTATAAATAGCTGTTAATGAGGGATTCTATAGTAATTCACCAAATGTTTCGGGCTGGAGTTTGGTCCAGATGTCCTGCAGCTGTTGGACAGACAGACAGTTCAGCAGCGAGGTCTCCCTGATTCACTGAAAGCATAAAAAGACAAAGTACTGCATTGGACGAGGATAGCTCAGCACCAGGCAACACAGATGGCCTACAAACGATCCGTATAACCTTAACAAATGGTTTAAGAAAGTCATTAATGACAGCTTGTAAAACCTTTATAAATATTAGATTATTAGAAAGTGGTATTGGTGTGAGAACAAAAGTGTTTGACTGTTCATTTGTTGTTTGCAAACACAGTTGAACTTGTAGTCGCCTGTAAATCTGTAAAACAGTTCATGTCACATTGACCTTTGGCTTGAGTTGGCTGGTTAGTTTATTACTTCACACCAGAAAGAACTGCAGCAAAACATGTTTTATGTTTTGTGCTGTCAACTCAGTAGTAGCTAGCTGATAACATGCTCGCCAAGCTAGCTGCTTTGGTCACTACCTAGACACTAAATTAAAACAACTAATTGTCTGTATCAATATCATATACTGTTAGAATTGCATTCTGGGTCTCTACGTTCAGCCAAGTGAAGTGAAGTGCTAGATAAAACAAAGGCACGGAGCGTGGAGGTTCCACCAGTTGAACAGTTTGATCTGAAATCAGATGTAAATGCTGGAGTGACCCCACAAAGCCAGCCTGCCGCTATTAGTGTCAGACTTCAGACTGTAGCGCCCCCTGAAGGTTGTGTTTCTGTGGTTGCAGATGGAGGTAATAGTGGGGGATTTCGGGATCGTTGTGGTTCCCCGTGACGGAGCCGACACAGAGAGAATCATGAATCACTCCTCTATTCTCCGCAAGTACACGGTCAGAGCACAAATCGCTGTTGGTGTGTGTGCCCTGATGTGGATGCAAGAAAAATGTCGTGTGTCCTAATCTAGTCTCCGTGTGCTGGTCTTGGTTTCAGGACAACATCATCGTGGTGAAAGATGCCACAAACCACCCGATGGCCATCGTCAGCTCAACCAAGAGCAGGTGGGGCTTTGATTAGTCAGTGCTTTCATGCACTTGGTAAATGATTCCAGGCTTTCTCGTCCCTACTAGTTGTAAAAATGTCAGTTTAACTTGTTGGGTCCTGCAGAAACCCCACAGTAAAACAGTGCATCATCAGGCTCAGACACTAATGGTTTACCTTCACCAGCTTCACTTTAAAGTATGAAATGTAAGAGGTGACCCGAGCTGTGCCCCCTCCCCTCAGACTGGCCCTGCAGCACGGTGACAGCCATGTTGTGGACTACCTGAGTCAGCCCGTCATCGACTACATCCTGCAGAGTCAGCTGTACATCACCGCCTCAGGATAAAGACTGCAACCTGCCGGCATGACAACAGGGAGAGTGGATGGAGTGGGGGGCGGGGGGTCAACCTACCTACAACCATCATCATCTATAGTAGTATAACACCCCCCCACCACCACCAAAAAAAATAAAATGTCCTTGTCTGCCTTCTGTGTCAAACATATACTCTTCTTTGAGCTGTCGCTTTCCAGCAGGAGCATTAGTGTCCCCCCTTCTGTCTGTGTCATGTGACTTTACCATCTGGGGGGATGAGATGGGGGTGTTGTAGCAGAGGTATGGAAGTAATTGATAAGGGCTGCAGAGGTGTCACTGATGTATTATTTACTGCAGTGGTGACAGCAGTGTTTTCACCCTCTCTTTGTTTCTGTCTTTATTAATGTTCAGGGATGCATGACACATCTGAGCATGCTCAGTGTAACAATGGCAGGTGGAATTATGGGGACAAAACTCTCTTGTGTGTCAGGGTCAATGGGCTTCATGCAAGAACAGTTGAAATGTACAGATTCATCCTTAAGTAGCATCTGATCCCAGAGAACCTGTTGAGTTCATCACAAGTTTAATTAAATTCCTAAGTAGCCCGGGCCTATTGTACAGGTAGAAAAATATTTGTTTGACTTAAGAATCATGATGTGCTACATCATTAGATATGTTCCCAGAGTTAAAGTGAAACCAGATACAGTGGAATCTGTTTAGGTTTGATTTGATCACTTGTTTTGTCATATAACAAATACTAAAAAGACTAAATTCAAAGTTTTATTTACTGTACTTGTGCAGCTTCACAGTGAGCCTCAGTTCATTGTTGGACCACAACTCTTCTGTTCTGGTTCACTGTCCCCACTCTGATAACGCGGCTCTGGGCCGCAGCAGGAAGCAGCTGCTCTAAACAGTTGCTGTCCACGACAGTCAGAGGCCAGCTGGGGAACAGCAGTTCAGAGACAGAGAGGAGGTGGAGACCAAACAAAGAGCTAACAGAGAGGGCACACTGAGCTGAGGCTCATCAGAAGACACAGACACGCTGCACATGGAGGATAAGAAATAAGAGTAAGAAACTGTTTGATCACAAGTTTAACATAAGTATAAATGTGATGTCACTGTTGCGTTTCTGCTGACATCAAGTGTCTCAAAACCAGTTACTGCAGATTTAAAATATTTTTTAAATCATCTTCTTCTGAGGGGACGGCACAGTGGTCAGCACTGTCACCTCACAGCAAGAAGGTTCTGGGTTCGAGCCCCAGCTGACCCGGGGCCTTTCTGTGTGGAGTCTGTATGTTCTCCCTGTGCCTGTGTGGTTCTCTCCGGGTACTCTGGCTTCCTCCACAGTCCAAAGACATGCAGCTTAGGTTGACTGGTGACTCTAAACTGTCCATAGGAGTGAGTGTGTGTGGTGGTTTGTCTACATGTCAGCCCTGTGACAGACTGGCGACCTGTCCAGGGTGGACCCCGCCTCTCGCCCAGTGTCAGCTGGGATTGGCTCCAGCCCCCCACTACCCTATTCAGGAATAAGTGGTATCGATAATCGATAGATGGATGGACTTCTCATGAGGGGGAAATATGTTGGGTTATCTGTTAGGTGTCAGGGATGCACACAGAGATTTTGGTGTGAAACAGAATGTAAGCAGAAACAGTTTGTTTACAAGTAAACTCCACAGTTTACAGACTGATTTGACATGTTGAAAAATCACAGTGCTCTTGCGTGAGGTCCATTGTTGGCCACATAGATGGTGTCAGCTGTGGTTGGGTTGTGATATGTCACTCTAAAACATTATCAGTAGACATGACAGAACAGTTTTAACCACTGTGCTAATCAGAGCTAAACATACATTAATGATGAACTTTTTTAAAAACAAATCCTCAGCAGCAGTGTTGTTGTTGTGGAGTGCAGAGGTTGTTTCGTTTCCTCTTCCTGTTCGCTCTTCTTAGGCTGCATGCGTAGACAGTTTAGTTCTGGCATGAATGTTTATCACTTGGTAGGTTATAATCTCTTGTGAACGTGTTTGCAAAAAAAACTAAGTAAATATGTTATAATAATATACAGCGAGGACCGTCATCAGCCATGCCTGTTCATTTTCTATTGGCTCTGTAAGTGTGTCCGGGCTGAAGGTTAGCGCCGCCGCCATGCAAAAACGCACTTTTGTTTGCTTGGTTTCATGTTTTCTGTGTGTGAGTGGGTCTGAACTGCACCACGTCACTGACAGTGGATCTGGTTTTCTGTATTATTCTAACTTCTGATGTTCTGAATTCTTTTGATTGTAAACTGTGATGCACTGAAAAACAATGTGTCATTTTTATTAATGTGTGTGTCTGGTGTGGGTTTCTCAGCACAACTGTTTACAAGTCAAGACAGGGATTTTTTTTTTTTTTTACTGATGCTTAAAGATTTATAGAACTAGATATTAATTTAGTCTAATGTCCTGACTCATGTTTTGTTTATTATTACATATTTGTGTTTATGTATATTTATAATGATTATAAGCATGATTTTAGCAGTTAATGCAACATTTTGCATTGCAGGAGCTAAGGTGAGCTTCCTGTGCACAGCCCGAGACAACGTAGACTGCTCATCCATCCAACTGGTTACCAAAGAGAAGCAGGATTCTCAAATATCCCAGAAATATAAAACTCCAGTGCACACCAGGGGTGTCTACAAATGAAACCTTTTACAAGCAACAGGTTTTACATTACAGCTTATGCAGGCTTGCTCATCTCATGATCTGTAACCATACACCAATCAAATGGACAATATACTTAGACAAAACTTCATAACAATCACCATTATACAAAAGAGTATCTAAAACATTTACTAACATTTTGTGTTACCCGGTGGAAAATCTGCAGTATGCAAGACAGATGGATCAACCCAAATTATCACATTACCTGCACCGTGTGTTCAACATTATATTGTGTATTTGAAATGATTGGTGTGTGTCATGTGGTTGGCGGCTGACCAATGGCCGTTGAGTCATGAGAACCTTTAAAACACACACCTGTCACAGGTGAGCAAGACTGGAGCTGCAATACAAAAGGCATTCGCAAGTATGTGTGTAGCTTAGTAAAGAAGTAAAATCTAGACGTCCATGCTGAGTGCGGAGTCTTATATTTGTGTGGTTTTTGTAATTGTCGCTCCTGTTCACATTTCAGATGTTTCTTAATCCAGTGAGTCAAGCCAGGTCACAGCTGACTGTCAAGGGTGCTAGAAGTTGTAAACCTCTAGGGCCATTTCTCTGGTTATGCAAAAGTACAAAGAAAACAAAAAGGGCAACAAAAAAAGTATGATGAATATTAAGTGGACAGTTTTGTTTCATTGCCTGCAAAATTATAAATTTCATACTGTTATAACGACATTAAATACCACAGCCCAGTGTCCTCTCTGGCTCCAGCGAAGGACTGAGATTTAATTTTATCTTCAGTTTGCTTGAAGTCAAAAGGAAATTATTTATTAAGGTAAAATAACTAAACTATAATTTTATAAAACTGAAAATTATTCTGATCATTAACAGATTAAGTTTAAAAAATGTCCTCTCGGCTTCTACGACGTCTGGATTTGCAGATTTTAAGGTGGGATTTTTTCCTCCTTTTTGACATTCATTCCACACTCAATCATTAGTCACATATAATCAAATTAATGGATAAAGAAAAGAACTGTTGTGTACAGCCCTAATGTCAACTTCATTTCAAAGTTATTTTAACATTATTGTGTATAATTCTAAGATTTTACTTTGTATTCATTTAGCAGGATTTTGCTTTCATACTAGTTAAAATATGCTTTCTATATAAATCTAGAAGAACACACATTTACATAAATATTAAAGTGAAGACAAGTTTTACCTCAGGAAATGTGCAGCAGCTTTATTTGAAAAGAGTTGATATTAATGACTCAACACAGAAGAATAAACAGAAAAACTTGATTTAAAAAGATATAAAAACTGAAAGTGTATGTACAGTTATAAATAGAATATTTTCACACACATTATCAAAATCGTCAACATGATCAATATAGTTTCATATGCACAGTATCATCCACTGATCTGCTGGTTCGCAGCAGAATCAGCTGTTGTGTCGCTTGTTTCTGCAACAAAAACACCACTTTAAATTTACCTGTTTTTACCAGTGATCCTGGTTTTTACAAATACCACATGTTTGCAGCCGGTCTTCTTTCCAGGTTTGGTTTTTAAACTAAAAAGTTCGTGGATTTTTTTTTTTTTTTTTACTTCTCCTGTGCTTTTAGTTAAATTTTGTCTCATATATTCTTTGCAGAAAATTCTTTGAACCTAATATATTTATGGCTTATCATTAATAAATATTTCAAATTGGTTCATCTTTTTCATCTGACAATTTTCGCTAAGGAAGATGCTATAAAGGTTTTCACTATTATGATTATTAGTTGATCGACAGGTCAGTCACCCAGACCTGGTGTTTAAAACTGCTCAGTGGAACACAGTGATTTCATATCGCCTGTTGCTTTATAGGACACAGTAGGTGAAGTGCTGTTGTGGACTTGGACTTATAGACCCAGAACCTGGCAACAGGTAGCAGTGCTCAGGCCTCCTCGATAGGGGGATTGTTGTAGCAGCCGGCGGGGATGGCCAACATGATGTCGTCCAGGTTAGCGATGTCTCTCAGGATAGTGTCAATGTCCCGGTTGATGACGGTCAGCCGGCGGCGCATGGTGGCCTCCTGATCCACCATGGCCCTGAACCGAGGCGTCAGGCGGCCCTCCACCTCCCTCTGAGCACCGGCCAGGGAGTCCTCCAGCTGTTTCAGACGCTTCTCATCCACAACACCTGTCTGGTCTGAAGGACAGAGAGGGAAAGAAAGAAGCTAAAGTGCAGTTGAAGTTCCAGTTCAATGTCTGCATCCAGTGGTGACAAATCAAATAACAAGAAGCATTCTTGCCCCATTCATTTCATCAGTGATGCTTTGAGAGCTGACTTGTTAAAAATTACAGTTCTAAGAGGTGGAATGAACTTTAGTTTAATGGGGATGTTGAAAAAAAAAGCCCAGGGGATATAGGGCACAGAGCACTTCTTAGGATTTTAGAGAGTACAGGGCTAAGCAAGACAATATAATGTGAACTGAGTGATGATCTTTTGTTATAGTCATAGGTAGTGGCCGTTCTGATCGACACTCCAGTCTAGAGATTCTGAGCCAGGCTCAAGGACTGGTATTATGTAACCACGGAGATTTAGAAGATTTGGTCAGTCTATCCAAGTAATGTCAATTTGGAAATTTGGTCTGATGTTTTCAGCCATGCGAGTACCTGCTAGCAAACCAAGCTAGCTCTCATTAGCAGGCAACCATATCTCCTTCACAGTACAGAGAATGTGAAGCTACATCGCGCCCTGGCGCTGTATTGACCTGCATACATTCTTGTTTTGTTTGGCTTAAAGGTTGCTGAAATCATTTAGATCTCGCTTTATTGACTGTGGTGATTCAGAATGGATAGGCTTATCTAACTCGTAGTGGACCTAGAGATCCCGTCTATGAGAGCGACAGCCTGAAAAATGACTGCACCCTGATCTCAGCTCTCTGTTCAAGAGCTAACCTAGCTAGCAGCTGTCAGCAGATGACTCACACAATGCGGATGAATAGGTTTCTGTCCTGTCTGTGCTCAAACTGAACACTAAAGTAGACGTTTGGACGTAGCTGTTCACACCTCTGCCTTCCAGCCGGTGGTGCAAGACTATGAAATGCAGGATTTCTAGACTGAAAAACTTCTTCTTTCCAACTGCCATCAGACTCCTAAAAAGGCTGACAGGAGTATACTGTACTGTTTACATTCCAAGGTTGCATATGCATAATTGCACACTCACTGCCGCCTATACAGCTCCGATTTTTATTATATTTGTTTCCACTTGCTCTTTTTCAGTGCATTTAGATTTTGTGTACTTGTTATCTGCCTTACATTTCTCTTTGTATTTTTTGGCATTCATTGTGGACAGCAAAGTAAGAATTTCATTGTACAGGGAAACACGTTTCCTTACTGTGCACATGACAATAAACACTGATTCTTTGAGCTGTAGCATCTACTACTTTATGTAGCTGTACGAAATAGTATTTTTTGTGTGTGTGTGTGTAAATTAACTTATGGAGTGTATATCTCTATGATGGATAATGGTGATCATAAGGGTGATCCTTCCAAAATGGAGCATTTACCCAACATTCACCACCATGTGACAACAACTTCACATTCTCTATAGTCTGTCAGCAAGGATGCTGGTGGTCTAAATGCACACTGAGCATACAGCATCCTCCTGTCGTTGGGGGTTTAAACTCTTAAAGTCTGATTTATTCTGCCTCTGACTTTGTCCTGCTCGGTTCTGTCTGCCCGGACTCCAAGCAGGCCTTGTTTCCCACTAGTTTAACAAAACTGTTTAGCTTAATCTGCCAGTTTGTCTGCCTTTGGGTCTAGTGTCCTCAGTTTGCCATTTCCTTATTAGAAACATTACACCTTGGCTTTTAGCACCTTCATGTTAAACCAGCAAACCCCCTAAAAGCAGTTGTCTTCTAGTCCCAGTCAAGTAAAAACCTCTGTACTCACTCATGTTAGCCAGGAAACTGTTGATGTCCTGCAGTGTTTTTCCCACGGCGTCTTTGGCCAGTTTGGCGTTGCTGAAAGCTGCAGTGGCTCCAGCAGCAGCCTGCAGAAGAAACATTTCTATCATTTAGCTTCCATCCACCAGTTTGTGACTCTTATCTCTGACAAATTATCTCTGCTGGGACAATTGACCTGCTCAGCATCAGCCTCCAGCCTGTTAGCTCTGCCCAGTTCCAAGTTCAGGTTTCCTGCTGTATCAGTTGCCTTCGTCATCATAAGCATCGCCTCCTTATTCAGTGTGGTGGCTTCATTCACCAGACCGGTGTAGGAGGGCAAAGATCCAAATGTCCCCTGAAGAACAGAGACAAGACCAGTTAGCACAGAGTTTAACCTATGAGAACATCCACCATCTTCCAACTGAGAGCAGGAAAGAGAGTCATTTGATGTGACACACCTGAGACCAGCTACAGGCCCCAGTCTGTGTGTCAGGCTAGGCTAAGCACGTTTTCTGGTTTCCTGGCTGTTACCTCCAGTTCAGTGACTGCGTTCTCCAGTAGGTTGATGGTTGCCTTAGCACCGTTGAAATCCTTGTTCACCGTTTTCAGCATGGAGTTTGTGTCAAAATTGTTGCCAACAGCCTGCTGGATGGTACCATTGATACCAGGAAGGCGCTTGATGGCGGCGTCAGCCAGAGCTCTGCTGCCTTCAATCTGCTGGTCAAACCCTGAGGAGGAGAAAGAGTCACGTTCAGTCCAGTGGTGGCATGTTTCTGTCCCTGCTGAAGGCTTTTACTTGTCCAGATGGAGGGCTCAGGATAGAGGGTGTTACACACTGTAAAGTCTTTGAAACAAGTCTGTGACTTTGGGTTATGTGAATAAAACCCAGCATATCAGTGTACCTCTCAGTGTGTTGAGGGCATCGTCCAGCTCTTTGGTGTTGCTGTTGATGCGTTGCAGAGTGCCCTCAGTGTCGGCCTTGGCCACATTGACTCTGCCCAGCAGCTTGTTGAAATCCTACAGAGAGGAATAACGTGGATACAGGCAGTTGGTCACGCAGCAAAACTGTGACCAGACCAATGAAGCTGTGCGTACGGTGAAAAGTTCTGTACCATTATTAGACACGTTTGTTTGGACTCATGGTCTGGTGACTGTATTACTTCTGTTTCTTGTGTGTTTAGGGTGATGTCTCAGGCCATTTTGCTACTTTGCTGTGTTTTTACTTCCATTGTTCATTTTGTGGCTGAACAATGCTCAGTCAGATCAGAACGTATCACCACTAAATCCATCCCTATGTTGTCATGAGACCAGTGCCTCATGGAGTTTGATGTAGTGTCTATCTACAGGTCTAGTCAGTGATTGTATGATGGTTTACAGGCTAGCTAGCTTATTGACTAGCCAGCCAAAATGGCTCAGCAAGTTGGTTGTAAGATAACTAGGTCATTCCCTTATGTAATGCTGGGTTAAAATCATTAAATCTAGGGCACAAATGTAAATCATGAACCAGTAGAGCAGGGTTGAGGTAAAAGGTACAGCACAGTTAATGTTAGAACCCCCCAAAAGTTAGAGGGCTGAAGGTATTTATAATCCTTCACTACCTGCTGGGCAACCTTGGACTTGGCCAGCAGGTCGGTGGCGGTGGCCTTATCTTGCTGCATGCTGTCCTGCAGTGCGTCAATGCCTGAGATGGTCTTGTCCACCACCCCATTTATGCCATCCATCCTTGAAACCATGGCATCCATCTCCCCCTGCGCATCATGAGAGAACATGGGGGTGTTAAAAGTTGGTGGATGACAAGGTTATCCACTTAGAATACGCTCTTATTTATCAGGACAACCATTACCGTCAGGAATAGTGGGATGTTTCGCTCCATGTCCACGATGCTTTTCAACATGCCGTTTGCCATTTTGCTCTCATCTCTGGCCTCACCGCTCACACGGATTGCCTGGTTCTCCAAACTCTTCACCTGGTCTGCAGCCTGATCATACCTGAACACACGGACATCATTAGTTTGGAGCATCAGCGTGCACGTAGAGGCAGACTGTGCCATACGTTGTCCTTCTAGGAATCTTAAATGTACCAGTCTGTCTGTGGGAACAATCAATTCTAACTAATATCCTACATTTATTGAACTTGTTTTCTCAAACTCAGTTAACTCACATTACAAGGCAGCTAAATTGAACAGTGCACCAGCTGCTGAAGATCAGCCTTTAATGTCACCTCTGCCAGTGAATCTGAAGCTCTCTGATCAATTCTCTCCTACAGAGTCTGGTTAAATTCAACTTCTTTCAGTGAAGCAAAATGAAGAAACAGGATCGTTTCTGCACCTATAACCCACTAACTTTATATTAAAGTGAGGACTGGAAAAAGACTGAGAGGAAACTGCCTCTGCTTTCACTGCAGCTGTTACTCACGTGGTTTTCAGATCTCCGATCAGCCCCTTGACCTTGTTCTCTTTGTTCATGAGATTTCGGACCAGAGCCAGGCTTTTCTCCGAGTCGCTCAGAGCTTCGTTGGCAGTTCGCTCCACGGCGTCTGCCTTCGTTTGATGCCTGCAGGACAAAGGCAAAGGAGTCAGCACTGGTGATTTTTCAAAGACTGGGTATAAAGTCGTGCTTCTTATTAGTTTATCAGCTGACTTACTTATCAGCCAGACTCGTAGCTGTCTGCAGCAATGAGAATAAGTTTGGACCCAGAACAGCATCTCCCTGTGGTAATTCCTGACAGGAGAGAGAAGACTGATTTTAGAGACAAGTAGCATCTCAATCTTCTTCTCACACTTAAAGTTACAGCTGCCACCATCCTCTTTCTTCTTTTTAAGGGACTGACATGTCATATAAAAGAGTGTAAAACGTGGTGGCCTGATGTGCAGAAAGGTCACCCTCTGCACTCCAGCCTTTGTCTTACAGCTGATCGGAGGCTGGTCTTGGCCTCCTCCAGCTTGCGTTTCATCTCCTCCATCAGAGTCTGGACCTCTGCCGCCTTTGTTTCATATGTTTTGTGTTGCTGTTTGATGTCGTCCACTGTGTCGCCAATGTTTTGGATGTCCTGTCCGTCCTCCAGCTGTCTCCTGCTGATGGACGACAGACGCCTCTGCAGGCTCTTCTCCATTTCTATTGGGCACAGCAGATGTGACATCATCGGAGTCAAACTTTGTTTTAGCAGTGCTACTGAGTTAAAGGTAAGGAACACCGTGGCATCGTGCTCAACCAGAGGTGGCACCAGGGTGCTTTCAAGTCAAATCGACAACACATGAGAACTTTGTAGTTTTCTGTGTTCAAACCCACGTATATCCGTAAATCCTAGGACTAATCTTGTGACCCCCCCCCCACACACACACAGAACCCCTCCTGCAGCATCTGTAGGTGTTTTGTCTTTATGGTCATTCTCTTTGGGATCCTTCTGAATCTCTGTGGTTGTTCAGAGTTGGTCTATGGGCATCCTGCATCTATGTGAAGTCTTTTAACTTAGCTCCACAACTTTCAAACAAGAAAGATTAACTGTCACTTCATACAGAGGCTCTGGCCCTCCAATGCCCCCCCAAGGGCCTCCAAGGCCCTTGTGACCTCTCAGGCCTTTAGGCCTGTTCCTGATAAGTGGGCAGACTATTATATTACTATTATAGGAGACATTTACTTTTAATACTTAAGTAGGAATTGAATGCAGGACTTGTATAGTAGTGTTTTAAGGTGTTGTACTGGTACTTTTACATCCCGTGATGGTGTGGATGCAGTGTGGTCTTACCTAAGAGCTGCTCGGTGTCGTCCTGTAGGGTTTTCACCAGCTTCTCGGTGGCTCTCAGGGCAGCCTCTATGTCAGCACCGCTGACTGGTCTCAAACCTCCGTCCATGTCGGAGAATTGTGACTCCAGCTCCTTCAGTCTGACAGTGTAAGCTCCCATCTGAAACACGAGGCACATTTGGACACATTAGTCCTTCTGAGTTCCATGCAGCTTTCTGCTCACACTGGCCACAACGTCTTTATGAGGTGATAAAACGTCTGATTTTGTTTTAAAACCTGTTGTGGAGTTCTGCTGCTCCCACGTGTCCAAAAATCAATTCATGTAGCTTTAAATAAAAGAAACTCTCAAACTACATCAGGAAACATGTTCCTGTTTAATGATGTGAGTGCAGCACAAACCGCATCACTTCAGGACTAAGTTCAGCAAAAACCAGTCTAGGTCAGAGCTCACCATCACCCTAACTGGAGTGTTGGCTGTCAACAGGACATAAAGCAGCGATTTCTTGGCTGTACCTTTGTCTTGACGGGGCCAAAACAGGCAGGGCAGTTGGATCGCTGACACCTCAGACCCTCGAAGCCTGCTCTGCACCGACAGTGACCAAAATCATCACACTGTTCAGACTCGGAGCCCTGAACGTCACAGTTACAGGCTGGTCCGCAAAACACAGAGGGAGAAACTTTTAGTAACAAAACCCAGTCCAGGAAGTTCAGGGTTTACAGACTGCTGTTTGTAGCATTCAGTATAATCACAAGAAGAGTGTTACTGCAGAGATGTTGGAATGCAACCAGAACATTGAAGTTTTTGTTGTTGTTGTTGGAGTCAGTCCCTTTAGGACAGTTTATAGTCCATAAAATGTCCATTTCATTCATTACTGTAATGGTTTCATACATAATAGTTTTTATTTTATGTGATGTGCAACATGATCAATGGCATGAAGACATTGATTTAAAAAGTTACATTTTTGGTTAGGTTGGTTTGCTGATGTTTAGATCCCAGATTCTAAAGCAGTGGTAGACAAACAGTGGTCCATGGGCCGAATCTGGCCCTCCTGCAAAAAATTTGGCCCCTCATAGAAGCTTAATGTTCAATTTACATTAAATAACTGCCTGCTCTCTATGCTTGTCATGCCACACGCACAAAAAACATCAGTATGAGTTAGTTTTAATATTTAGGTCTAACCCACTAATGGTAAAAATGGCACCAGCCCTTAAAACAACCAGTACGATAAAGCAATTTTAATCCAAACAAATTGAAAGGGAAAAGGAAAATGAAACGTATGTCTGTGTCAGCTGCTTTGGAACCTGCTCAAACCAGGTGATGTCACCTTTTAGGATTAACTGATCAATAAACTAACCAAATGCGTCAGAGTCTTACGTGTGCAGGCCTCGGTGCTCCTGCTATGGTAGAACCCTGTCAGACAGGCCTCACAGCTCCCTCCCATCGTGTGGTTTAGACACTTGAGACATTCACCGCTGCTACGATCGCAGCTCCCCGCCACGCTGACATCGATGTGGCCATTACACTGGCAGGGCCGGCAGGGTCTCTGTACCCCGGTGGCCCCTGCCGGGTCACCGTAAAATCCCTCCCGACAGATGTCACAGCGAAGACCTGAGGGAGATGTGGGCCCATGTTATCATGTCAGTAATGTGAGAATATTTCAGTGGTGATTACTGAACCCTTCTCTATAAATAGTTTGAAAGATATAATTTATGTCTGTAGAGGTTCCTCAGACTAAAACCGTTCAAAGCTAACTAAACCAGTCAGTCTTGGTTTAGTCAGTTAGTTATATACCCTGTTAATTTTCTCCTTTAATAATTTGAGATCTTCTTCTGTGTGTATTTGTGCAAAGAAATGGGAAGACTAGCAACCACATCAGTGGAACTAATGGGGATCATCTCAAGCTTTGGTGACCTTAGAGACTGTGTGTTATCTTAGACTTGTATAACAAGCAGCAATATTAAAGTTTCACTGTCATACACATTTAGTATTTCTGTGCAACTGAGGCAGCAAGGTGCAAAAGCCAGTCCTGACTGAATTATTCAGAGAGAATGACAGATTGTCAAGAAATACAGGCATTAGGAGCAGGAAAGACCATGTCAGAGTTATATCAGGACATGACTGCACTGATATCTAGTGTTCTAGTGACTGCACTGTGGCCGACTGTTTCTGTTGACCTACCAGTGGTCCCTGGAGGGCAGCGGTCACAGCGGGGTTCCAGTGAGCCAGCAGCCAGAGAGCAGGTCACTCCCTCCGGGCAGGGACACTTCACACAAGTCTGAGGCTGCCAGGGGTGTCGGTAAAACCCCTCGGAGCAGCTCCGTTCTTCATCAGCAGAGTAACAGTCTCCGGTCTGCCAGTCGCAGCTCCCTCCCTGGCAGCTGCAGGGCTCACAGGTGCTGAAGGCTCCATCTGCAGGGAACCTGCGTCTGAACCCCGCAGTGCATCGCTCGCAGAAGTCACCCTCATATCCCCGAGGACAGTTGCAGGTGTGAACCCAGCGGGCCGGGACACCGTCTCCACGCTGCGCCGACACCAGTTGCACGTTGTCAAGGTAACCACGTCCTAAAGAGACACAACAGTTACTGAGTTACATCATCCAAATGTCCAGAAGCAACATGAGCTTTGCAGAAATTTCTGTGCAAGTTGCTGCTTGCTTATGAGGAAATGGTGTGTACTCACTGAGAGATTAAGGTTTTTGGTTGATAAATTGTAAAAGAAGATGAACAGAAAGAGCAGGACTGTTACGAGTCCTCTTGGAGAAAGAAAAGGAAGCAGCAGAATGGGTGGAAGAGACAGACTGAAGAAGAAGAATTACAGGAGAAAACAAGCTAAAGGAAGCTCACCATTTTCACCAAATGTTGCACGGATCTTGATGGCGGTGAGGTTCTGGAGGAGTGTCTGGAACTGGAAGGAGGAGAGCTGCGGAGTCCACCTGCTGCCAGGCTGCTCGTCCAGTCTGCTCAGAGAAAAGACCTTGTTTCACAACACTGCACGGCTCCAACTGGCACGTTCAGCTGTTGCTGTTGTACCAGTCCTTCCCTCAGATGCTCAGGTGTGAGCTCTATCATACCCGAGTCAGATTTGTATTTTGTAGGTGCGGTGTGGATTTTTACGTTATTGCATCATTGACTTTTTTGGCCAAACTTCAAATGGTTGCTAGGTACTTGGAACAGGTGTGGTATGTGTAGGTTACTGACGACAGAAACACACCTGTATGAACCATCTGTAAACCAGATGTGCTGAAGATGTACCATCTGCCCAACAAGGTGCAAATCTGACATTTGGTCTCATGTTTCTGGTAAAAGCTCACAATGACATGATTCTAATGTCACAAGGTTTGGTATGTAGGCCCAGTATGTCCTGACTTACAGGTAGTGCACCACTCCTCCAAAGTCATGCTGACAACTCAGACCCAGGTATACGTGCTTGCACGTGTGACTGTCAGTGAGTGAGTCATAACATGTTACTCGCCCCTGTGTGGCCACATGCCAAGTTTAAGCAGTGTTTAGTTACATCAGATTTTAATGGCGCACACACTGTGATTCAGCTTCTTCGGCGTCACTGATTCTTTCTGCCTGAGGACTGTGTTCCTGCTTGCTCTGATTACAGCAGCAGGATTCTCCCGATGCTCACTCTTGTATTTTAAGTAGCATTAAGGCTCTGATCGAACCCAGGACGCCATGTCTGAGGCTTCAAAAAGAACCATGGGATGCTTCATGCAGTGATATGAGCCAGGCTTTGACAAAATAAAGGCATCTAAACACTGACTGAGATGAAGTTTCTCTCTGCAGGCTGATTTTCTGACCTGAAGCTGTAGTTGATTTTCTGCCCACAGGGGACGGGGGATCGCAGATCACCCATCGAGGTGGAGACACGCAGACCAGCACCTTCCAGGATCACGTCGTTGGTGGACGGGTGTCGGATCTCACGGTCCAGACGCAAAGAGAAGGAGAGGTTCTGACCATAACTCAGCAACTGGTTCCCCAGATAAGGAGCTGTAGAAGAGGAGAGGAAACACCTGGTCAGAAAGGAAAGGAAAGGAGGACCTGGACAAGAAGAACGGAAGACAGGAGGAAAGAATGGTGTGGAGAGAAGACAAAGAGGAAAGGAGGAGGTGAGGAGGAAAAGTAGAGGCTGAAGGACACCATGATATGGGAAGAGGAAAGATAGAGAAGAAGGAAAGGTAAATAAAGAAGGAGCTGTGGGGAAAGGAATCAAAAGAGGACAGGAAGGAAAATGAGCACATGGAGACATGGGAAAAGGAGAAGAAAATAGGAGTGCAGGCGATAAGGAAAGGTGAAAAAAGAAAAATGAAAGGAAGTAGGCGAAGTGTGGAAAGGAGAGGCAAAGAAGGGAAAGAAAGAACGGACAAGGAGACAGTGGATGATGAGGGGAAGGGAGAGGAACATAAAGATGGAAGGAGGTAGAAGAGGAGAAATGAAAGGAAAAAAGGTGCAGCTGAGGAGGAAGGAGAGGAGACAAGGAAAGGAAATGTATAAATGAAAAACAGGAAAAGCAGATAATAACAATGGTCATGAAAGAAACCAAAAAGAAGTAGGGGCAGACAGATGAAGGAGGCGGGGTTTTTTTCACCTGGGGCGTACAGGTAAACCGGCAGGCTGCTTTTAGAGATCACCTCCAGGTCCTGGTGTGTTGGCGACCAGCGAAAGTACACGGCATCGGGGGCAACGCCCTGAGCTGTTGCTACTGTCCACCCTTCTGTACCTGGAAACATCACAAACACTGTTCACAAAGCTGGGCTTCTCTGGAGCTTTTATTTTGAAATGGACCCCACAGTCACACTGTCAACTACTGAGGTTATCAGGGGACTACTTTTGTGAAGTGAGGAGGTAAGTGGGTACCATCAGTGAAGGTGGAGGTGATGCTGTGGACGGAGTAACCGGACTGTGCAGAGCAACGGCTGCTGTGGCCGTAACAGAAACAAGGCAGAGTCAGACTCGCAGGATCCTCTCTGAGCTGACGTCTGGACAAACACAGCAAGTGACAGGAAGTTAGACCAAAACAACACAGAAGAAGAAAAACTTAGAAAAGTAGAAATGAAGAAAACATATGCATTTAAACCCTCAGAACGCCAGAGTCTTAAGATGTGGACGGTCTGGAGCCGTTGAAGTGTATTTTTGTTGTGAAAGAAGATGAAGTGGTAGATAGAAGCTAAGCACTAAAAGAAGATGAATTTCATGCACTGAAACATTTGGCAGTCATTTTAAGTATAGAGGCTGTAAGGAGTCGAAGTGACAGAAAAAAACATATAAATGTTTAAAGATTCAGTTGAACTGCAAACACTGAAAGCAGTTGAACTGTCAGTTGCCTATTAGTGGTGAAAACAAGTTGAAGGTTCAGTAAAAGTTCAAGACCTGAAAGGAGTTGAAGTGTTAGTTGAGGTGCTAGCACAGAAAGCTGAAGTGCTGATAGGAACTTAAGTGTAAAGAGACGATGTAAAAGTGATTTAAAGTGAAGTGTTTCACACCTTTGCGAGCAGCCATTTAGTCCAATAGGGCCGTCGGGGCAGCGGTCGCATTTGTCTCCGGTGACGCCTTGTTTACAGCTGCAGCGCCCCCTGCTGTCACACGTGGAACTGACAGAACCTGAAGGGAAAGCAGCACGTTGGGACTACAGCAGCCGTAACAAACCTCAACAGTTTGCGTTAAGTGTGTGGTTTCTCACCGGTGGGGTTGCAGCGGCAGGGCGTGCAGCTCAGCCCTGCCTCTTCCTGGTAGAAGCCGGCCTTGCAGCGCTCACAGTGGCGGCCCATGGTGTTTCCCTGACAGTCAACGCAGTGCAGACCCAAGGCGTCACGAAGGCAGTACGGAGATCTGCCATTGCACTCACAGTGCGCCGTTTCTGCAGCAGGAGACAGGAAGTGAAAAGTCACATTTGTTTAGTTTAATTTGAATATGACACATTTAGCAGTGTTATAGAAGCTGGGTTCTTTCGGTTGCTGCATTTTAGAGTCCAGATGTGTTAGTCTCATTACGTTATCGATTTGAATTTACCTTGATTTGATTGATTTGATTTATTCTTTCAAGCATGTAAAGAAAGTCAATATGTCAACACACATAATTTCACACATATCCAACAAATGCTAATCCAATATCAATTTGCTTATACCTAGTACATGCTTGAATGGAGTAGGAAGAAGTCAGACTTATCCAGTCCTACCCCATGACATCATCTTACCATCATTGGTTTGCAAGCAGTATCTCTACATAAAAAATTCTCTTCTACACCACACAAGTAATATACTAAAGAATTATAACAGAAATGTTAACATTCTTACATAATTACATTCTTAAATAATTATCTTCTACACCACACAAGTAATATA